AGCCGGGGTAAGACGTGAACTTATTTGTCTCCATTTTAAATGTTGGGCCAGGCAGAAAGCAAGCAGTTGCTAGGTATTTGTCAAGTGAATGGTTGAGTAAACAGTGTGCTCCCCAGCAGCAATTCATATGAAGTCTTTGGGTCAGGCTTTTCATTTATAGTAGGAAAGAGTTGAATGAGGAATCCCATAGGGCCATTCCTAGGTCGGCAATTTGACTTAGCTTCTTTCTCCTGTACTGCAACTCCCCAGCCAGTTCTCTCACCCATCCCCAGTGTTCCAGCCCCTCCCTAGTTGTCAAAGATAACAGGTGCTAGTTGGTCTTTGAAGCTGTCTGTTTTTATTATTTGAATTTAATGCTGTACGGGAGAGTTCTTTGAGAGAGCATTAAAAAGGCTCCCTAAAAAGTGAGAAAAAGCAGTAAATGAGACTTATAAAGAAATGGTGAATTTACACCAGATACACAGCAGAATTCATTTGAACATCATTTTATATATAACAGCATCATGGTGTACTGGGGGCCATGAAGATCGGCTCCTGAAACTCACATTATGCAGGACTTTGGCTCTCTGACATTTTGTCTTTCAGTACACACATACATCAAACCCGCATCTTTCTCACATAAACCTACAGTCATCTAATAATGCAGCCATTTGAGAAAGAGCTGCAGTCAGAGGCAGTACGGCTCCTGATCTCCATGCCAGGAAGTCTGAGGCCTCAGGATATGATCAGATTAGCGCTTCAGCCCCAGTGCCTGTGCTAACTGCCTGGATGGAGATGCGCTCAATTCAATTTGCCGCAATTAGTGTGACAGAGGCAGATGCACACAAGCTGTGCACTGAAGCTCCCCTGGACAGAAATTGGCAGCACTTGTATCTTCTTATCCTTACATTTTTAAATAATGAGAAAGCAAACAGGCCAACTAGAAGGAAGAGGCATGCATGGACCATTACACAAGCGGTGGAAGTGAAAAGAACAGGGTTGGAGGGAGGTGGTTGAGACCAGAGGATCACAGTGAGGCACCTGGAGGACTCTGCCACCCTTGCATTTCCTCCCAGGTCTCCAGATATCTGTAAGAACTGGAATCCCTGGGCAGCATCTTGGCTCAGTGTTGGGATTAAACTGGGGAGACTTGTTTTAAAATCACTGAAGCTTCTAGCACAGCAACAACTGTGAAATTGTGTGGCCTAGACAAATTATGTGCTACTGGCCCTTAGAAAATGATCTTAGGATTCTGATGGCATCTTAATTGCTTTAATATGATTTTTGAAAAGCATAAAAAGGAAATTAGTTCAGTAAATTTGAAGAGAAATATAGCAATAAATGTGCTGAAAAACAAAAACAAAGACACTAACTACCTAACTACCCCTTATTAAGCTTTAAAACCAGTTCACTGATTGAATACTTCATGCTTTTAAAAATCCAAATCACTGGTATACTTTATATAAAGATACAAACCTTTGACTGCTTAGCCATAGTTCAATTTCATTGCCAATTTCTTTAAATGCCAACTAAATTGTATAAAGGAATTGTTGTAAGTCACATTTTGTGACAAATACAGTATATTATTTTGCTAAATATAAATTGTTTTGACTTTGTTTAAAATATGTTTCTGGAAAGATTTATATTATAGTAACATCTAAAGCTATATGACTTTGAGTTTATTCTAAGGCCAGCAATAGCCCTTCTTTCTGCTTACTGCATTTTCTCGGAAGCATCCTTAGGGCTGTTTCCCTCTGGAACTATGGCCGAGGTACTTAAGTTGAGGAGCACTTTCAAACCCAATGCTTTTGCTCCTTAAGTTGAGGAAGATAAGCAAAGAAATTGTTCAGATGTTTATGGTGTAATTTTTTTCTGAATTCACTTGCTTAGCAATAAATATTGTTGTCACAAATATGTGTAGACTGACTTCCCTGAGCAATGCTTGTAGTTAGGCTCTGCAAGGGAGAAGGCTGAGTGTTTCCATGAGGCATTGCCCAAACACACCTGCTGTTAGCCATTTGACCTAAGTCAAAAGATGAAGATTCTGACCCTTCCTCTTGCTTTCCTTGGTCCCTAATGTCACCACTTGTACTCACAGTTCCGCATTTGCTATTTGAGAAGTTCACTGCTTTCTAGTTAACCTCAAATGGGAGCTCAATTTATAAAATATTTAAAATTGAATGTTTGAGTTCCAGAAATTTATTCCTGTGACACTTTGATTCATGATTATTGGGAAGGAAAACAGAATCTCCACTTACCTGAAGCAGCCTTGATGCAAAGCCATGGAAGGGTACTAGCGGGCCAAGCTGAGAGGAAGTCCCGAGCAGCACCACCCACATTTGGTATCCTTGCTCTGTGTATCTCCTCTACAGATGCTCTTCCTTGCTACAGAATTAAACCCCTCATCTCTACAGTCCCTAGTGTAACGTGTATTGCATCTGTGATAACAGTTCTTTTGCTTATAACTTCCTTTTCTTCACTCTCTGAGGCCTCACCTGGCCCAGACCCCAAATTTTATTCTTTTTATATCCACTTGTTCACAGGAGACAGTTGGAACTATTGATGAATATCGTCAACCCACCTGTGTGCTCTAACTCAGTATAATTGTGTTCCTTTTTTGTTGTTGTTGTTGTTGTTGTTAGAACAAACTCCTTTCTGCCTGATCCACTGCTCTTCTCTATTACGTATCCCCAACCCCAATTCACACACTTTCCATATCTGGGAAATTTCTATGTACTTTTTAGGTTGAAGATATCTCTGGAATCTTTTCTCTACAGTACGAGGCCTCTAGAATACATTAATGCTGTTTCCGGGTCTCTGAGGCTGTTTACTAGTGCCTTTGTGACAGCATTTAGCACACTGTCGATTGTTGTCTGACTACTTATTCTAGGAGAAACCCCAAGAGTTAAGACACATGTGTCATTCACTACCAAGTGCCCTGCACTTAATAGTTTCTCTACAATATTTATTAAATAAATGAATGAATGGATGTATTTGTTAGAATATATCTTCTCCATTAATTAGACAAATGATTTTATTAAACAGACATAGCATGCATTGGGGAAAATTAGTGAAAGTTCCATTCTTCTTATTCCCAGTACTCTTCTCTTTATCTTCTCTGGAAACAAACAGCTCCAAGGAAAATTATTCCTCCACACAGCCAGTTCAAATGCATTCACACAAGGTCATGTTCTGGAACCAGAAACTGCCTTGTTCCATTAGGACTATTACAACAAAATGCTTTAGACTGAGTGGCTTATAAAAAAGGGGAATTAAGTTCTTACAGTTCTGGGCTGGAAAGTACAAAGTAACCGTGCATTAAGGATCTGCTGGGGTGCTACTTTCTGGAGTGTAAATGGTGCTGTCTTGCTTTATTCTCACGTGGCATGAAGGGGAAGGCAGCACTCTAGGACACCAAGGGCATCCACAAGGGCTCCACTCTTGTGGCCTAATCACTCTTGAGGACTCCACCTCCTAACACCTAGGTATTAGTGGCTAGGTCTTAACATATGAAGTTTGGGGCACACAAACATTTAGTCCATACCATGCCTTTAACCTAAATTCTACCCAAGTGAAAGTACACAAACCACATCTAGGCCAAAGCTTGAGATTTCATAATAAACCAGAGTACAGAGCTGATACTGTTGGGTGAAGCACTGCCTTTGCAATGGGTACTCAGAGCTGTAAGAACTGTGTGTTTAGCCAACAACTTGGGGACATGGATCACAACTGTGCAACCTGGCTCTTTTCAACTCCGGAAGTACCATTTGTACAGACTTGAGACATGAGTCGTACCCCATGGAGGTGTTCCGCAAAGCAGTTTGAGTGAAGGTTTAATGTGGTTAAGGGACTGTGGAGAAAATGCACACTTGGCAGGTCAGGAAGCAAATTACTTTCTCCTCATCTTTGTAACAATTGCTCTCTCTTAGCAAGACTAGAGAAAGCCAGGTCCCTGAGGGTGCAGGTACAGTACATAGAGCATAGGCTAAGAAATTATTTCAATTAAATTTTAGTAAGTATGCTGCCAAATCTAGTCATGAATTTAGAAAGCTTGTAGTGTTAAAAGGAAATATCATCTGATGAACTTCAAGAACAATTAATGACATCCTCTTAATATTATAACCTACTTTCTCATTTATTTGGCCTGATGCTCGACAAATGTCCAAAAAAAGTAAAAAGATGAGGAGGGATATGCCATCTTTCATCCTTTGAAAAGATGACAAGTCTGTTTCTTGCCAGTGTTGTAAATAATTGAACGGGAAAGTAAATTGAAATTTTACAGTTTGTATATATATTTGAAAACTTTTCATCGGTTTTAAATTCAACTTTTAATTCCAGCTACTTTGAAGACTTACAGCTCCCTGCCACATTTAAAGGAAACAAGAATCAGATAAAGAGAAACTAGAGACATTTATAGCTAAATGGATGCACATTGAGGCTATACTAAATCGAAATAAATAGGACACATGTGTAAATGCCAAGTAGTTTCTCACATTTGAAAACTTTTCATCGGTTTTAAATTCAACTTTTAATTCCAGCTACTTTGAAGACTTACAGCTCCCTGCCACATTTAAAGGAAACAAGAATCAGATAAAGAGAAACTAGAGACATTTATAGCTAAATGGATGCACATTGAGGCTATACTAAATCGAAATAAATAGGACACATGTGTAAATGCCAAGTAGTTTCTCACACCAGGGAAAATGGTGTAAATGAGGATCAAAATGTATAAATGATAATGTGAAATAGGAAGAAAAGGTCCAAAGGGGAAGGGGAAGTGGTAAGGGTAGGGAAAAGGAAAGAAAGGAAGGAATAAATATAAGGGAAAAAAAAGGCCTCTACTAGGCCAAATTAATCTTTTCCATGTTTCTAAGCAAATTCCAAGTTGTAGAGTGCCAGTTTATGGAAATCCTTCCCCTGTTGCAATTGTTTAGAAGTATCTTCTTTGACATTAATTTAGTTAAGTTCTTTTAACATCCACTTAATGTATGTGTCTGAGAAGCATTTTATGTTTCTTTTAGGATTGTGGAAAAGGGGTATTATAGTGAGCGAGACGCTGCAGATGCTGTTAAACAAATCCTGGAGGCAGTCGCTGTAAGTAAGAAATAATAGATACTGTGTGTTTAACTCTTAGTCATCTCTTCTTTTTATGACATCAGCATTTATCAAATGCAAATATGTGATAAGCCATAAAGTTTAGAGCAAAAATATGAAATAGTTATAGAATATACACTTAATAAATTTTTATTGTTTATTAATTACTCAAGCTCTGAAATACGCAGGCCCCTTTTTTAATTCCATAAATTGGTTAAAATAATTTCCATTAGATTAGATGAGACTATATTACACCTTATTGCCTTTACTTGTTCCTTATCTCTTTTGTTTCCTATTTCCTGAGTTAGTTTCTTGTTTTTTGGTTTTTTTTTTAATTTGGTAGGGGAATGGAGGAAGTTTGAGTTAGATAAATATAAACTCAGCAGCTTAGAGATTATTGGTTTTTCTTTCAAGACAAGAAGTGAGTAAATTAGATGAGAAAAATTGGCAGTTTTATTTATTGAAGGAAAAACTATAAATTACAAATTTACACTAGACCACAAGTTTTATAAATCAGTGGTGGAAATAGATATACATATATTTACAAACATAGTTTGAATTTCAGGTAATGTTTGCCTGGATAAGTGATTATGCTAGTTAAAATCTACTCATACAGTTATAGTGTCTGATGTACACTAGTGACTCATTTACTGACTATAAAGCCAAAACAAAGTATTCTCTGGAGAAATGGGAAAGGCCCTGCAGGAGGATGTTTATTTCAGAATTAGTTAAAAAAGATAAATCTATGAAATATGCTCAGAATTATGATATATACTGTCAGAGTCAGTTATCTAACTAAAATTCAATATCTTGATAAATTAGCCAGAATGACACAAGCATGTCTTATTAATTGTGCTTGCAACAAAAACTACAAGGAGAAAGAGAGAAAAAAAAAGGAGGGCTAAGAGGAGAAAGGATCTGATCTCTAAGCAGTTCATATACCGATGGTGAAAAAGAAAAAAAATGACCTTCATGATCTTTGCAGAGAGCTACTAGAATTTACCAGTTTGTTGTCTAACCAAATCCATTAGTGAGCTATCAGTACCAGGTATAACAGTCTTTATTATTGTTCCTTCCTATGAAAGTACTTGGTCATTTTGATAGAGTAGGGAATAAAAAGTTTTAAAAGAAAATGATGGACACTACAGAAGATGTCATAGAGAAGATGGAATTGTATAACACAGCTCCAGATTATATGAATATTAAGCAACAAATTCATATTGTCATCTCACTGTACCCAAAATAGCCACCTCCTTCCACATTTTTATTGCCCTCATTTCCTAGGCTTGCAAACTTGGGAATTGTTTTCATCTTCCCCCTTCCCTTCTCTCCTCACATCTGCCTTTCCAAATTCAGTTGCTCTTCTTTCAGATGTCCGTGAACCTCATCCTACTCCTCATCATGCTATTACTGTTTCTGGCACGACTTTTCCTTTAACACTTCCTCTTGCTTCCAATGCCTATTCTTAAATATATAAATCTAAAATCATCTCTTGCAATCGCTCTTTTCATTTTGTCACTTCCTAGTTTAATAATAGTCTCGTGTCTACCTTAAATACCCATTTGAAACCTCATTTCTTAGGATATACCATCACTTAGGTAGTCAAGCAAATTTGCTGGCACATCATTTTGTCCAAACTAGGCAGGTAACAAAAGAACCTTGGAAAAGCCGGGCGTGGTGGCACACGCCTGGAATCCCAGCACTTGGGAGGCTGAGGCAGGAGGATCGCTGTGAGTTCAAGACCAGCCTGGGATACATAGTGAGTTCCAGATCAGTCTCAACTACACAGTGAGACCCTGTGTCAAAAAACAAAAAACAAACAAACAAACAAAAAACCAGCAACAAAAACAAAAGTACTTTGGAAGAAAAGCACAGTTGAGTTCAGTTTTTAGGTATATGAAGTTGGCGCACATCCTAAATACCTTGAGCCTCAGTTTCCTCTTATACAATGGGCATGGCATTCAACCTAACATGGTTGTGGAAAAGACGAAGAGAGATAATGCATGGAGTCTAAGCACTGCTTATAAGACAGGGAAAAGAGAAGAAGCAACATCAGACTCATTATATGCATTTAAAGCCTAACTAAATACTGTAAATCTGTGCAAATCATATGACCTCCTTGGCGAAGCACTAAGATTAAAAACAATTGTATAATCTTGAGATCCTTGTTGCATTGATTGCACAAGTTCGGTTTCTGAAAACTCAGTACTTTTATTTACTTATCTGTATGTATAGTACACCAATAAAGTTTTAAAAAGAAGTGTGCTAAAAAAGTAGCATGAGTGTATACTTGTAGCATGAAATCAATCCTTAAGTTAGCATACTGTGTATGTATGTTTGCAGTTTACCTGGATAGAGTTAGGTACATTCATTTTTCTAACTCTATTATATATTTTCTGTCAGGCAGAATTTTTTTTCTCTCTGAGACAATAGCGCATTATGATCTGATGCATGTGACACCAAGGGTAAGGAGAGGGACATGTGTCCCTTTAGACCCTACATTCCTCCCCTTATACCATTTTAAGACATTACTTCAAAATGGGATAATTATCAAAATAATTGTTCTGAGTGCTTCTAGTTTGCCTTTTTGTGCAAGTAGCAGGATGTACGAAATTAGAAGGGCATTTTAAGGAGACAGAAGTAAGCAAAGAGCCTCTCCGTGTAGCCTGAATAGCAGCCAGGACTCCCTTTCTCCCATTTTTGCTTTTTGTCTCATCACCTGCTTTCCTCTTCTCTCTCCCAACACCTTCTCTACCTCTCAGACTCACAAAGTGACACATGGTCAACTTAACATACTCGCATTAACATAGTACAGTAAAAATTCAAGCCTAAGCATTTCCTCAAAGCAGATGCAAATGTCACTTGATTTTAATTCCAAAGCTCTAATTTAGGAAGTAGGCTACGGCATTGAAGTTCAGCACTCTTTGAAAGAAGTTTTATAAAACCTAGATTTTCTCTGATCATTGCAACTAATGGTTAATTTAAAGAAACATGAAAATCATTTTCCCTAAGTGCTTCATAGGTAGAAAGCAAAGCAACTCAAAATTCAAGAGAAATGGCTTGCATCTATGAAATAGTTTATGGTCAACTACAAAGCTATAGATAGCTGTAAAAATAGGACAGTTGGGAACACAAGCAATCAGTAATATATCTCACATTTCCTCTGGATTACACAGTTATAAGGCTATATCTAGGTTGGGTGTCGAAATCACAGAGGCAGAAAACTTAAAAATTATAAAGTTTTTGGAAAATATGTTGCAGGTACAATTATAGCCCTTGTGTAACATATCCTGCTGCCCTCCCTCCCTTCCCACTCGTCTCTCCCAGTTCTTTCTCTCTTATTTTGTAGTATTGCTCTATGAACTTGCTCCCTTTCCTCTTTCAGCTTTTAATAGCATTTGTGAAAGCCTTTACAGTATATCTTAATCGGCCCTTGGAGGACAAATTCTTAAGCTTCCTTGAGTGTTATTTCTTCTTGAAGTGAATTCCACTAGTCCCAAGTTAAGTGGTCCAGGTCAATCTGGACACTCTGGAAGGGTCATTTTACCCTAGTACAGTGCCACCACTAAAGATACCTTTTCCATTGACTTGCACAGATAACAAGGGAATCTCCTCTGACAGCTCTTACTACTCCAGTTTTTTTCTTGTCACCTCTAATCCCCTGCTGAGCATTTATTCCCAAAACATCATCCTCCATCTTGTTTTCCACCACTGCACTTCTTCTTCTTTTTTTGCCACGTTGTTCTTTGGTAGGTTTTAATTTTAAAGGCCTAAGTTCAGAGCCTAGAGACACTTGTACTGATAGAGTACTGATTTTTTAAAAAATGCAAGAAAATGTTTGAGGAACTATTAAATCTACTCTCTCAGAACATAGCTCTTTGTTTAGAAATGTGTTAAACACTGTGGTGATGGTTGTAGAAAGTTGAAAACAGAAGCACTGAGCCCCTCAGAACTGTGGGAAACTATAATATTTGACCATCATAGAAAAATAGGAAACTAAGCATGATATAAGGCTGCAGGAAAATATGAAATGCTACAAGCTTTATTGAGAATCTCTAAACTAAAATGTTAGAGCAGTGTCAGAAACAGCTACCTTAGGACTAGAGGGAAAAATGAAGAGGTTGAAACTATTAAAGCTAGAAGACTGAAGAAGGTGGCTGTATGGGTCTGTGATGGGGGATAACTCTTAACACTGGTGCTGGTGTCTCTGTGCCTGGAGGAATTGCCCAATTAAGCTAGAACTCAGGTCTCTGGGTTCACACTGCTGCAAGCTGATGCTAATGTCACTTTAGAGGGCACTGAGACTGGTCCCATAAGCACTGGAAAAATTCCAGCCTACAATCAACTGCTGCTACAGAATGATCTGCCACTGCAAGGTGAAACTGTTTCTAGGGTCACGTAGTTAGGACTAAAAGGCAGAAAAGCAGACCTAGCAAGCAAATGGAAGGGAACAATTCTCTTTGTCCTCCCAGTTTCTCTCCCTTTTCATGTCAGAGTCAAAAGGGAACCAGCAGGAGAAGGAAAATTGTGGCTTAAAATTCAAATCTCAGCATCATAAAATGGACTAAAAAAGAGTAGGCTTAAAGGTGAGAGACAATAATAGCTTAATAAATTGTAACAAGTTACTTTAAAAATAGTCTAAGTTTATGTTCCTTTTGACGGAGCCCTCTAAAATGTTCAGTGTCTGCTAAAGTATATGAAATGGTTCTAGAGATCAGCAAAATCAAAACAAGAGGGCCAACTGTAAAACAAATGTTTCCATTCAGTATTCAGTACTATGCCCAACAGGATTTATACATTTACTGAGTACTGTATAATTCAATTTTACTTTGACGTATTAGAGTGATCTCCCAATCCAACTTCTTACTCTTTGTTGGGAGATCCTTTTTAGGAAAATGAAAAATGCCAGAACTTCTTTTCCAGCCTCTCTTGCAGCTAGGGAAAGGGACATAATTTGATCCTGTCCCTGCATTCTGAGGGTCAATATACTTATGAGTTGT